TCTTGTACCACCTAGGTCATGCAGTGATGCACTATTCTGGCAGAATGGCAGAAGATAACTGCTGTCCCTCAGCTACCAATCACTGCAACATCTACAGTTCAAGTGAGACCCTCAGGAGGTCAAACTGACCCGAGAGGGTGTAATTTTTGGAATATTTTATCAATAAAACATTTAATTCTTTGATGTTCTGTAAATTCCCCAAAAAGCTTGTTTATGAGGTACACAAATGTCATTTCCATATTTCTTGGTCATAAGTTTTTTTAAAATAGTCTTTTTGTATTACTAGCCCAAGTCTTTGTAAAGCTGGTCAAAATGCATTTCCTATGGAATTTTGAATCCCCGCGGAATTTTATAAAATGTCTTGTCAGTAAAATATTTTCTTCCTTGGACATTCCATGGATTAACTAAAATTGTTGTGACTTTGTCAGTTTCAAAAGACATTTCTAATTTGTCTTAAAGTCATGATTTTACTTTCCTTTTTCTTTTATCAAAAATGTAATTTATAAAAACATTTCATCACTTGATAGGCCTTTAGTTAAGGAACATAATTGTACCACATTCCATTGCAGTTATATTTTTTAAATTGTATTGACTTCATTAATGATGTCTTTGTCTTCAGGCTTTTTATTTTATTATTCTGTTTAAAACCTTAGGTGACGAAAAGGTACAAATGTGTACTGTGTAAAAACCTTAAAGGGGAACTCTTTGCAAAATTACTTAAACATTCAATGGTTTAGATGTAAACATGTATCATCTGGTCTTGAGAAGTCTTTGTATGTAGCTAAACAAAACAAAGAAAGGAACAACAGCCAGGAACTAAAGTTAGCAAACAAAGATTTCGCCAACACACATGGAAAACAAAGGGGTATAGGTAGTAGTCTTAACAAGTCCAAGATAAGATGATGGTGTGCAAGCGGGAGGTACCAGGGAGAGTCCAAGTTGAGTCTCCCCGGAGGGGGGGAGACATGACAGAACCCTCCTCTTAAGGCATGGCTCCCGAAGCGCATGACAGAGAGCGGGTCTAGAGTCCAGAGGGGAGGGCAGTCCATTAACTATGTCAACAGAGGAACAGGAGTAGGACCAGCTATGTGGGCCTGCTGAGTGTGGCACTGGGAAGCTGAGGAGCCATCCATTGGCCTGGTGCAGAAGGAGTAGCTCTGGGAGATGGTACAGGAGAAGCAGTCCTAAAAGCCAGCACTGGAGCAGCTCAGGGAGCTGGCACAGAAGGATGTGCCCTGGAACAGGACAGAAAGCAGCTTCGGAAGCCGGCACCGGATCAGGATGGAGAGCCGGTGCAGAAGCTGCACAGGAAGCCAGCACTGGAGGAGGAGCAGCAGCTTGGGAAGCCAGCACCGGATCAGTGTGTGGAGCCAGCACAGGATCCACACAGAGAACCAGCACTTGATTAGCAGCAGCTCAGGAATCCGGCACCGGATAAGGAGGGTGCTAGGAGGACTGGAACAGGAGCCTTGTGTGGAGCCGGCACTGGTGCCCTGCATAAAGCTATCCTAGGCACAGAAACAAGAGCAACCCAGGGAGCAGAAACTGATGGTTGTAGTTCCTACCCCAGGACAGTTGGCCAGAGGGGCCACCATAGATGAGGAAGCTCTGAGTGGAATGATGACAGTAGGCGATGATGGACCAGTGCTCTCCATAGCACTGGGCGGAGTCTTGAGGCCAGCCATCAATGGGCCAATGCTCTCTGTAGCAGTGGGCGGAGTCTTGAGGCCAGCCATCAATGGGCCAGGGCAGAGCCTTGAGGGCATCCATTGACAGGCCAGTGCTCTCCGGAGCACTGGGTGGAGCCTTAGAACCCTGCATTGTCTCACTGGCACAGTGACACAGGATCTGGAGAGATATGAATAACCCCCACCCCACCCCCACCACCAAAAATCCCTGGGGAGCCTCCCCCTCTTCCGGAAGCAGGCCAAAAAACAGACTGAAAGAGGCTCCCGAACTTCTCTAATGAGTGGGCCACCTTGCTATGTAAGGCCCACATGTGAGCTTCCCAGTCTAAACAGACCCTTGCAGCAACAGTTCCACAAAGGCCACTTTAGCCTCCTCAGACAAGAACGATTCATTAAAGTGGGCCAAACAGCAAAGGAACTCACCCATAAAGCCATTCATTCTGCTGCCTCTTTGCCAAGTCAGATGAGAAAAAATGTAACGCATTTAAATAGTATTGAATTTCATCTTTACTGTATATGTGCAAGGGTAATGATCAAATAAACATGATTGAAACATTAAAACATCTGTGTATCATCAAATTCTTAAAATATTTCATTAATTATTTTAATTTTATTAAGGACACAAAAGCAATGCAGATCGCAATATAGCATGAAATGAATATCAGCAGCATCAGCTGAACAGCTCTTTTTGACTGGTATCTTGCTAAAGTCTGTACATAGCAGCATGGCCTTTGGCCATATTATCAATTTTGAGATTGAAAATTCTAATGATAGCGCACACTGAACATTTATAACAGCCCTCGTATCAACACAGTGACAAATAACAACAGACATCATCTACCATCCGTCCATCCATCCATCCATCCATCCTCTCTCCCCTTATATTTTCTGTGTCAGGTTGGTGGACAGTCATCCGTTGTTCTAGGATTTCTGTGCATTGTGTATGGTATCTGCATCTTTGGCAGGGCCTGCCTCATCCTCTGGGCCTATTGCAACTTTGTTATTTCCTCAGTTTCCACAGAAACCATAGTGAGGACTATACATCAGTGCATGGTGTGACCTGGACATTATCTGGGTCAATTTTCTTTGCACAACAAGATGGTCATAACTAATACACCTCTGTGATGATGGGCAAAAGTTTGGCACCAGCAAGGTGTCAGTAGGAAGTGGCCCAGGCTGTTGGGATCTTCATATGACACTCATGTGGCATTGAGACACTTGCCTGTTTGTGGCAGTAAAATCTGTTCATATGCTCAGACATGATGTATGGTTTTTCACATTAATCATTAATTAATGATTAATGAGGCCTATTGGAAATCAGTAACCAAAAACTTTGGATCTCTTTTAGTGAGTCACTGAAATTAACTTCTATTAAAAGCAAACAATATATATGACATCCCATTTCAAAACCATAAGCTTTATTATGTAGTTGCCCCCCACCCCCCCGCCCCGAGCCATTCTTCTGGGAAGACTTTCCACAAAGCTTTGGAGTATGTCTGTGAGAATTTGTGTCTACTCGGTCAAATGAGCATGTGTGAGGTCAGGCAGTGATGTTGGATGAGAAGGCCTGGCTTACAACTGATGTTTCAATTCATCCCAAAGGTGTTCAGTGGGCTTGAGGTCAGGCTTCTGTGCAGGATACTGGAGTTCCTCCGCAACAGACTTGTCAAACCAGGTCTTTATGGACCTTTATGGGTTTTGTGCATGGGGTACAGTCATGGTGGAGCAGGAAAGGGCATGCATGCCCTAATTAACATTACCCTTCTCTGAAACTAAGGGGCCTAGTGCAAACCCTGAAAAACAGCCCCAGACCATTACCCCTCCTCCACCAAACTTTACTATTGGCACTATGCATTTTGGAAGATTGCACAAACCCAGAATCAAACCCAAACCGGCATCTGACACACCAAGATTCGTCCATCACACTGCCAGATAGCGAAGTGTCATTCAACACTCCGAAGAACACATTGCCTCTGCTCCAAAGTCCAGTGGTGGTGTGCCTTATGCCATTCCAGCTGACGCTCGGCATTGCGCACAGTGATCTTAGGCTTGTGTGCAGCTGCTCGGCTATAGAAACCCATTTCATGAAGCCTCTGAAACACAACTCTTGTGCTGATGTTACTACCAGAGGCAGTTTGGAAGTAGTAAGTGATGAAACATAGGAGAGGGGATTTCTATGCACTACACACTTAAGCACTTGCCAGGCCTGCTCTGTGAGTTTACATAGTGTACTGCTTTGTGGCTGAGCTGTTGTTACTTCTAGATGCTTTCAATTCACAATAGCACTTACAGTTGACCAGGGCAGATCTAGCAGGGCAGACATTTCATAAATTTGACTTCTGGTAAAAGTGGCATCCTATGACAGTGCCGCATTTAAAGTCAATGATCTCTTCAGTATGACCCATTGTACTGTCAGTGTTTGTCTATGGAGACTGCATGGCGATGTGCTTGATTGTATACACTTGTTAGCAATGCATGTGGCTGAAACACCTGAACTCAACAACTAGCAGGAGTGTCCACTTCCTTTTGGCCATATAGTGCACCTATTACCAAAACTGGTCCTGGATTTTGTAACCACTTGTAAATAATTTTTGTGATAGATAGATAGTTCAATTAACTACCAGTGATTACAAAATCCAGGGCTGGATTTGGGTCAACTGGGTAGTGCTAAAGGGTGTTTCACTAGTGGATGACTGAGTATAAGCTGCCGGGTCACTTCCATGTATGTTCTCCTGGTTCTATGAGTCAAGTAAGATTTAAAATTTTATCGTGTGGATGAATTGAGACAGGTATAATCAGGGATTGTGAAGAAATTTTGTTTACATCACATTTATTCCATCAATTATCTAAGACAAGGTCGTTAAAGTTCACAGTTTTCCTTACACCACTATTCTGTGAGTCAACATAATAGGCTGTAGGTTTTGAATTACCTGAAGTAGAGTTGCTACTTTGTTGTTTTAAAATCCCTAATTATGTCTTTAAGAGACATCCACACTAGGGAGCCTGGACTACACAGGGGGTTTAGTGAAAGCTGCTAGATTCCGTATGCATTGCAGGACACGCAGGTTTGTGCGTTGCACTGGTGCGTTAGTGCTATGCTCATGCTTTTAGCGAAATGCCACATGAATCAGTGATCACGGTGGTAATTGCTGCCTAAGGACAGAGCCTAGCTAAGTGCGCTGCTGCCGCACGCGTCAGCCTGGAAGCAGCTTGCTCTGCCCTGTAAAAGGTTCATTAGGAGTTGTATTATGATGGTGGTTCAAACCTTTTTGTGTGACAGATGTCTGAATGGCACGACAACCGGAAGTTTCATTCATTACATTTAGTGGCAAATCATAAGGTTACAGTTATTATGGACAGGAACAATGACGGCACAACCATGTAGAGTGCTGAACCATTGGCATATTGTGGTTATTATGAAACTTAAAGGGGAATGACAACATAGTGGTTTACGTCGTCTACTCCAATATTTACTTACTGGATATAAGTGCACAGACTCTTAGGCTTTGTGAAATTGTGTGCAGCTGTAGACCCGCTCCACGTGCATCAAGGGCTTTTAAGGATGCACTTGTTTGAACTATGATTTAATTAAGTCTAACTGAATGTGTAGGTTACTGCTTTATGTAACCACCTGCTCTTAGGAATCTGTCTCACTTCGTTTATACAATAGGCTAACTCAGTAATGCAAACACAGGATACTCTCAAGTGAATAGAAGAAATAGAAATACATATGAAAAATTCAAAATATTTAGAGTTTATTGATCATTATTTTATTTTGAATGATTTTTTTCTGTACATGTACTGTGAATGAACATGGTGGTGGGGACAGCTCACCCAGGAATAGTGGTTCATTAATGAAAAAAAATTAAAAAGTGAGATTTTAAAGCCTCACCTGAAACAGCACATAGATAAGTAATTACAGGACTTATTCAAAACCCAATACATTCATTCCCATAGAAGTAAAATACATTCATTCAAGACTCTTATGAGCTCTGTCAAGCATTTTCTTTAGTATGAAGCGCAGTGATACCTATAATATTTTGGCTAAATCTTATAAAAGGAAAAGTGCCTTACTGGCAACCTCGGTCTGTATATAATGATACTGTGTTCATTATCACACCAAACAACCCTTTGGGTTTGTGCAATATTTTCTTTGCATAGTAAATAAAAGTTAGTTCTGTAGCTGACATGCACTCTTAGTACAGCATCCCTCTGTAGTATAGTTTTTTATGAGTTTTGTGGTCTCCCTTATATATTAATAAGTCCACTATAGTGAATGCATGCAGCAAAGCGATCAGCCCTATGGGCTTAGCTGAGAGAGCTAAATGAAGTGTTGTGAATGAGGTCTGAATGAAACATTGCATGTTTACATGTGCATTTGTATGATTATACATTCCCCCCAGGATGGTACATTGGTGGCACAATGTGAAACTGCCAGGGATGTATCTCAAATAACAAAATTTTCTGGTAACTGTTTAACATTACAGGGGAAACCTCCTCCATTTACAGCCCTATGGACCACAGAAATAAGGGGCAAAAGTGCTTCGTGTACAATATCCAAATACCTGCACACATTCCTTTTATATTCTTTGGCTTTGAGTCACTACTAGAATCAAACTCGATAATGGAAAACAGCATCCTGTATAGTAACTTAGCCTATGATTTCCTTTGCTCCCCTCAGCACAGGTAATGGCTAGGTTAATGGCCCTCAATGTACATATTTATACTCAGCACAATTTATCGAAAATGATTAAATTACATTTACAGTGATAATTTTGTGTTAAGGGTCAATGATTGGGCAAAACATAATGATAATTTTGAATGTATGTTTCAGACACTACCCACTATACATGCTTAATAAAACCAAAACTAAAGCTGAAACATTTAGTCAGTGTAAAATGATATGTTCTTATAGATCAGCACCTTAACTCATTCTCCACCAATGTAGGTGTAGAGTCCAGCCTATTCCTTGTCTCTAAGTGATATGTGTAATTCGTTAAGGCCTATATGTAGCTGGACTCACCTCAAACTAACCACAAAAGGGATTGTGGGAGTAGGAGTGCTTGTGTATTTATAATGAGGCCTAGAGTAGATGCAGTTCTGTAAGTAAAAGTCATGCTTTCATAATAATCTAGAACCAGTTTCCACTTCCCAAATCCCTAGAGAAGCAGCGAAAATCGTCTCCTATCAGTGTGAAAGGGCATATTTTTCATTCTCCTTTGTTTACATGGATGAATGTTCTGTTCTCTTAACTTTCTGAATGCAGTAGTAGACAGGCAGCCCTTTGGCCAAGGTGCCAATATTATCTGGTAGTCTGTGGGGTCATGCCATTGTGGATGGTTTGGTTCGTTGGTATGATAGAAGGGGCCAGGCTACAAAGATATTTCAGTGAGTTGGGGGTTAAAAATAGGGTGGAGCTGAGAAGCTGCACAACAAAGATGTGGTCTGTTAAGTTCTCCTCTATTATATATAATAATATTTTCAAGTAACTAATGCCAGAAAAGAGCAGCAACAATTGCAGTCCAGCTGTAGACTAAAGAAGCAACAGAGGGTCGTGTTCCTCTCTCTCCACTAGATGGCGGCGGCATTCGGGTCGTATCGTCGCTTTTTGACATTTCTTGCAGTTTAGATGGCAGAGAAAAAGAGAAGAAAGCAATCAAGTTTGATATAACATTTCCATATTTTTAAAAATCAAATGGCATGCAGCATGACAAAACCACTGTTCACTTCTTGATCTTCATCAATCAGATGTAAACCTTGCTTTTAAAAATAACCTCTATTGTTTCAGTTCCATCAATCATTCCTTTAATTAAAAAAATTATCAGTACTAAGCAAGTTATAAAGGTAGGTTTGTTAATTACTGTAATATAGTAAAACAATATGTGAAACTATAAAGAGACCACCCATCATTTATTTCATTTCCAGTTAAAATGGTTGATAAGTATAAGTTACTCATTTTCCAACAATAGGAAAGAAGGCAAAGAACTTACATAACAAAAAAATATACAGAAGCCTCAAAAATATATATTTTTTCAGATCTGAAGCAATAATGGAGCTTGATTTTCTCCTGTCTCTCAAAGATGAAAGCTGTAAGTACTGTTTATCTGACGGTGACTGATGGTCTTGTTTTAACGGTTGTTAAGAGTCCCATTTTCTCGGTATCTTTTAATCATTTTTTAAACTGTAGGTTTGGAAACGTTTTCATTGTTGTTCTTTGGCTTTCCCCTTCCTTATGCAAATGGACTATTTTATATCTAATCACTACGTAATATTTTTAGGATGAAACTTTAAGAAGTAGCATTACTGAGTCAGGAGAAGAAAGAACACGCTAAAATATGGTGTCTGTGAAATAATCATTCAAAAGTCAGCAGTGTCGAGTTGGAGTTTTAAGGACCATGTCATTCGCCTTTATGTATTACATACACAAAAACTTGGCTTAATGTTTAGGTCTCAAATGCCAATTCAACATTATACTGATGAAATTTGATAATACTAGTAGATAATTCACTTATAGCCTTGGAAGACATTCTTTCGATACTCTTTCAATAAGCTTGCAAGCGCCAGATGCATCCGCACGTGTGGGTCTAAAGCAGAACCAATTGTCTGCATTTACACATTTCCACCAGACAGGTCTCCAAATCCCTGAAACTTACATAGTGCTGCTTTAATGTCTGTATTGACTAGAAATTAAACAAATGAAGGGTGGTCACACAGCACTGCACATCTTCTGGTTATGCTGCAAAAATATAGTGGAAGCACACAGCATCATACAGCCTAATGTTTTCTTAATTGAGCTCTGATCAGCTAGTAAGCCTTTTCTGAACTAAATCAGGCAGTGTTGAGAAAAACACAAAACTGTGCAGTGCGGTGATCCTACAGTTGCTTTTTGGCCTATCAAGATCTTCACAAGAAAGAACAGTGTATTTAGTGTAATGTTGACCAAAGAAATTTTGGACAGACAAAAACGATGTATGTCAGGAGCAATACGATGACTTCCAACCCAGTGATGAAGACATGATGATGAGTTTCATTTGCCCTTTCATGCGGACAGGCAAAGAGTGAGCAGGAGTGACGTGAGGGGTGTCCTGGGCCTCAGCCATGTACCAGATCTATGCAGTAGGTGCAGATCCTGAGGAAATCTCCCTGTGGGAATTGATGCTGGCAGTGTTAAGTGGAAATGAGCAGCCATGAGACAAAGGCCCCTGGCTGCCACCCCTGCCACCCCTCCTGCCCTCTCAGCCATGATCCATACTGGAGCGAGAGAAATAGTCATGGCAGTGATGGCAGCATGGAAGCCCTGCAATGGCTCCCTGCAGGACAGACCAGCCTCTGTGAAGTGATCTCACTCTCTTCACTCTCAATGATGCTGCATGCAAACATACTCATCTTTACCATAAAACAAAATTACCTGCTAATTACAAGGTTTTGCTTGGTGTACACATTGCAAGTGCTCAGTGAGCCTAATAGTCAATAGGTGATCAGTGGATCAGCGCATAGAGAAAGTCAGCTAGATTATAACCACACAATACAGTGTAGTGCTATCATATGAGTACTAAAACTTCAGATGCCACTGAATATTGAGGTTGGCTAAGTCCAGTCGTTCTCAGTTCCAGTCCTGGAGATGTTCTGCACATTTTTCCCTACTCTTCTATACCTGGCCCAGTGCATGAAGGGCTTGTTAAATAGTTAAAGGAGAAATCCACACTTTTTTTTTGCCCAGTCATTCAGAGTAGTTTCATGTGTTCTTTGGGTCCTTTTTTCCTTAGAACACCCTGCATATACCTGTCTGTCTAGGATGTAATAAAAAATATATATGTTTTAGGCCAAAAGCATTATAGTAAACCAATGTCTCTGGCATGAGGACGTGCATTAGTAACCATTTTATATAAGCTTTTAGAGGAATTAAACACATAAGACCTCTGTTTTTTTATCACCACCACTGTGAACTATTCTGACTTGATCATTTCTCTAGAATGAAGCATTTCACATCAAACCACTGTGAATGGCTTTTAAGGTTCTCAGGACTGGAACTGGGAACCCCTAGCTGAATTCAAGCCATATGTTTGCATCAAATAACTTCAACCCATTTAATGGGCATGTAATGTATTAAAACAGACGTTTTGTATTTAACATGCATGTCAAGCTTTTAGCTATACCCTTCCAGATCATTTGAGGTTCTGCCACAGTTCATGATCACTTACCATTACTTTACATAACGATGACCAACAATCTCACAAAACACCTATCCTTCCTTAAACAACAGTGTCTCTGTTTCTGCATGACTGCAGTATGTCTATAAAATCAAACTGTTTTATCTGTAGCAGAAGCCAAACTCCTGGAGTGCATAAGCCATAGGGATGCTACAGTCTGGAAAGGAGGCACATGCAGCCGGTCCTTACTTAAACCCCCAGCCTGTCCCCCCCAGCACTATGGCTGCCACCAGGATGGCCCCAGCGATGGAGCCTATGATCAGATTGGTGGCACTAGGACCTGTGGTGGGTGAGGGCATGGGAAGACAGACGTTTTTACTTGGCTGAAAATAAAACTGTATATTTCAGAACCTATTGCAATAACCTTTGCCACATATTATGTGTCATAAGCCTGAAATAATAACAAACATAGCTACTTCTGCTTTTCTGCAGTTGTACTCTTGAACCAATGCTAACTTGATCATATTGACTATGATCTGCAATAAATAAATAGGCCACTAATTAGGGTGAAAGCACATTTACAAAGTTACAGCATATACTTTGACTGAAAAGTGCTGGCATACTTGTATTGAAGTCTTCTGTTTTAAAAAATAAGTGGTTTGTGAATATTATTACATTCCTGAAAGACATTCAACAACACCAACAGCAGGCTGACAGGCTCTTACAGGTGCTACCTAATTAAGTAGTTCCCAAAACCCTCAGATTTTATAGGCAGATACAGTATCTTTTACCACTTAGCATGTCAAATTGTGGAATTTTGTGGAAAATTTTGCCCAAACAGGATCTTTCTACACAACAAAAATGCACAACTTCACTGCTAAGGTAATATAATTTAGCCAAAGTAAATTCTCTCGCAAGATTGAAAGAAGCCTTTGGTTCTTAGTCCAGAAAGCCATGTGAGATTGAAAAGTGCAATAAAGTAGCTTCAGAGGTGGCTTAAATTCAACACTTTGTAGCCATTGCAATTTACAGCTGTGCTGTCCGACACTGATTTGTGTAAATGTTACTGCACAAAAAGCCCACACAAAATCCCTTTAGAGTGTTCTAAAAACCAATGGGATTACATCTCACCCATGTGAACAGCAGAACCACATTTTAACCAACAGCAGGAGAGTATAACAAAGGTCAAAAACAAAAATGGGAGAAGAGAGGTGGAAAGAGGATCTTACAACCAATCACAAGATACCACATACACGTAAGATTGAAACACTAGATCACATCACCATGGTTACACAACAAAGCCACCACACGCGCACAAACACAAGCAGAGGTAGGGATACTGCACTGTCACACACAGGGGCAGCACCATGTCGAGAGAGAGATGCTTACTCGAGTCCCCACCCAGTGCCTCCAAACAGAACCCCCAGGGCCAGAATGGTCCCTGCTAGAGCCCCTATCAGCCTGTTAGTGGCCACACTCACTGTGTATGAGAGAGAAGGAGCATCATTACTAACCTGCTGTTTCTCTTCCATGACTGCTTTACCTGCCTCAGCTACATCTGTGTGTCTATCTGTTGTGAGAATGCTCTGTGTTTGGCCCACTTTCAGTTACTGAAGCATCAGCTGAAGAAGAGATTGAGCTAAATGTAGGTTTGGAATGCTTGTCTCATGGGATGTTGTGTATGTGTGTGTGTGTGTGTGTGTGTGTGTCTGTATGTGCATATGGAGATGGGAGATGAGGAAATGACCTTTTGGTCCTTCATCTTCGCTGGGAGCGGGCTTTTTGGGTGGATCAGGCATGCTGCAGTCAGTCCCTGCCCATGTCGCATCACATGTACATGTCGCTTCATTATTGCAAACCTGTCAATCAACCAGGAAAGAATTTTTTTTTTTTTTACAGTCAAAGATAAAAGAACAGTGAATATCTAGTTTAACCCCTTAAACCTTAGAAATCACAGCTATCACAGGTAATAACAAAAGCATGTTGTAATTTGAGATTAATTATTTGTCACTCATAGCTTATTAAACTCTTAAATGGCCACTTCTTACACTTCTATAACCTAAGAATAGCTCAGCCAGTTTACACTGAAGTTACTGTAATACTGAATAATAAGCCTTGGTATGCAAAAATCCTTTGGATTTTAAGGGGTCAAACCAAGCAAAGGAATTCTGTCAAATGATTTGATTCTAAACTTTCAATTGCTACCATATTTGCTTTTTTACTTGTAGGTAGAAGAGTAGATATTTCCTTAATAATTGAATTTGAGTTATTGTTGGGCATTCAGTCTTTTCCATGGAAAGAAAAAACTTCCTTTAGAGTTTTACCAAGTGTTTTTCATTTGTTGACACCAAAACAAACTGAAAAGAGATACAAGTGCAGTAAATGTACTTCATTACGTAACTGTGTGTGTACATACAGTGCTGTGCAAAAGTTAAAGGAACCTAAGCAAACTGTTTCAAATAATTTATATAGGCAGCATGTTTTTGTCTGTAAAAACACAAACTTGCATTTAAATAAGTGCAAAGAAACATTAATAGTAATAAAAAGCAACGTGAATTTCTTGCTTTCAGAAAAGTAGTTCGTACCTTATGAGCACAAAAACACAAGTTTGGTTCCAGATTTGGAAATTGTTGAACAAACACACTGACATACAAAAAATCTGATATACAAAAAATCTGTACTTCATCGTATTAATGTTTATATTTATTCTAATACTAGTGTTTTTTTCTGAACAAATAAATAATACAAATACTATTCATCACATTTTTAGATGTAATTTTCTCAGAGGCCCAACATTTTAGCACATATGGGAAGAAATATTCTGCTAAATTTTTTCAAAGTCGGAGTTGAAAACAGTGACAATTTTAGTCAATTCTGAGCGTAAGTCAAAAAAACAGTAGCGGCTAGATGACTAGTAAACACAGCTTTGAACAGTTGTACAAACATAAAATCGTTTTCATTAAAACACAAAAAAAGAAAATATGTGTTTCATTTAACAAGTAGAAATTTAGTGGTTATGTTTAGAAAGTACCCTATAAATGATGATTCTGTATACATGTACCTTATTACTATCTTTCCTTGGGTTAAAATAGATCATAGCATAATCATTGTAAATATCTATGGTCTGTAGACGTAATTGTTTTTTTTAATGTTTTTTTACAGTTGGACTGCAGTTTGAACTTATTTGGTAGAATGGTCCATATACAGTACTGTGCAAGCTTCTTGGGTACCTGAGAACATTAGCTTTAAAAAGCTATTTATCTGTGCAGTGTTTATTTGCTCAGAAAAAACACTAATTTTAGGATATATTCTAGAATCAATGTGTTCACTTAGCCTTTTCCAAACCTCTCATCAAGGAAGCCCAATACTAATTACAGTTACTTAGTTTGGTTCATCAATCCTTCTTTAATTTATATCAGATTTAATCCATGGTCACTACTATGAAAGTAGTAATGATGTATAATTTATGTAGTTCTGATCAGAGAAATCAAAGTGTTGGCCCATCCCACATAATTGGTTTAGGGGTTATATTCATTAAAAGTCTAGTCCTAATTAACTGAGGTATATGTGCTACCACAAAGTGCTAAATCAGGTTCATCTCTAGCCCTTTAACTCATGTGCCAGGGAGAAAAGTGAGTAGTGTGGGTGCTCACCCCGTGGTTTGAGCAGATGTGTCCATTGGGGCCTGTAGGGCAGGCACTCATGTTGAGGGATTGAATGGGCAGACACTTACGGTCAAGGCACATCATGGACGGCCCACATGGAGTCCCATCCTCCACATAACCCAGATCAGTGTCATCATCCAATAACACATGACCACCACTGAATTTAAAGATAAACATAGTTGAAAATACATGCAGTAAAGCTCTTTATTTATTTACCGTAATGTATTTGTTTTAGATACTGTAGGCATGATAAGATCCTGCAAATGATTGGTGCTGATAGAGGGCATTGATGGGTGAAATGAGGTCAACTTTCTGTGATCTGCTGAGGCTGTGTGTGCTTTTCTCTCACCTGCATTCAATTAGCTGACCTTGGTGGTTGAAGGTTGTGGGGGTGATCTCTCCCTTTATTAATCCAATACGTGGCATTTGCCCAACATTAGTGCACAGCAGAAGCCCACAAAACACGTCACTGCAAGCAGAGATACAGAGCACAAGTGTAGAGCTCATCATTGTAAATACAGATCACTGTAGTTACTGAGAAAATACAGAATGCAGCGTTTCATTACAGATACATACATTTCAAATATAGACTATATCAGTGCAAATGCACAACACTTCTGTAGAGTGTAGGGAAACAAATAAAAGTGCATAGTAAATATAATCATTAGAAGGGCTGTCACAAATAATCAAAACATGATTAAATCAATAAAAAAAAATAATTAAAATTCATGGTACCACTTCAGAGTAAGAGTACCCCTTATAAAGGGTTTAACCGTGGTTTAAAATTAGTTCATTTATGGTTTTAAATAGTTTATAAATATCTTTAAAATCATTAATAAGCAGTTACAATACATACAAAAGGATGACAGTGACCTCAGATTTTGCTTAGATTGCCAGATTTTTTGGTTACTTACCTTAATTTGTCTTCTTCATCAATCTGTATTAAACCTGTCAGCTTCATCAGATATTTGCATTTATATGATTATACAGGTCACATTTCCTCTTTTGTTAATCTGTCAATTATAAACTGTTTATTAATGATTTAAAGGTGTTTATGACCTAATTTATACTCATTAATAAACTAATTCTAAATAATTCCTAAACCCTTTAAAAAGGTGGTCATGTTAAAAACACATATATTAAATTTTTGACACACTATGTTTTTCATATATATTTAAATATTAGGCTTCTTAGTTTATCTTAGTTTTCAACAAAAAAATAATAGGGGCTATTTGAGTTCATATTTATTGTTTGGCCTTTTTGAAAGTCCCTGACTACTCAATTAATTGTCGAAACAATCTATTGATGACTTGATTACTAATTTAACTGATAGCGACAGCCCTAATCATCAGTGTGTTTTCCAAGATTGTGCATCTTTCTCACCACTGAAGAAGCATTCTTGAGTTTGATGATAGTCTTGAGTTTGATGATAGTAACTGGTTTCAGTCTGCATTAGTGTGTCTAATATTAAAGTATTGCAAAATGTAAGCTGTGGTGTCAAACTCACTGCTTGCTGCACTGAATATATTTCTCTCCATTTTCACCACAGTTCCCTTTCTGAGATCCTTCAGTGTTCAGCTTCTCATAGCAGAACTTCTCTGAGCTCCCAGACTCTGAACAGGTGAAAAGAGAGAGAGAAAGATTGTAAAGGGTATAAGAGAGCAAAGGGGAATACTTTTTGTTATCAGAACAAGGATACATCCTGCCAGAAACACTAATCTCTGCCATGTATTTCACTCCAGTAACAGGCAGGTTACCATTATCCCTGACAACATAATTTAATATGAATTAATTTACTGATAGTGATTTTCGCATTTATTTAGAGCATTCCACTTACTTGGCCCCCATACATATTTGCACTGGCTTTCTCTGGTTTTACATTCCCCACTGTAGCAGCGTCCCTGTTCATGAAAAAAAACACCATTTGAAGATCTGTTAAGGAAATGCAATTACTTTTTTGAAACAAATTACATTCCTAGATTAATGTTTCTTATTTTACTCATCAGTTCATGCACTAATCAATAATTTACAGATAACTGGTATATGAATCTTCATAAGAAACCTTAATATAGCAGGGTAGTTTTATTGCGTTATTGCCCATCATACCTGGTTGAGATGGCAGAAGTAGCCATCCTGTTTGTGTAGGTTCGGAGGGCACTGCAAAGAGAAAGACAGCTATTGTAAACAGCTTTATGTAATCTCAGTCCATTGAATTTGAGGTTAGAACTCTGTGGGTAAAACATTCTTTTACGCGTGGTTATATGAAATGAGTGTAGTCTTACTATGTGCCTACAGGGGTTAGAGGTGCCTACAAATATCCAGTCACACTATCACTGACCTGTCCAGAGTCTCCTGAGCACGTCTCTGAAATATCACAGTCATTCACTGCATAGCGGCAGCCGTAGCCTCGGGGGTAAAACTGATCGAAAAGTGGGAGGAGGAAGGAAGAATGAATGAACAAGTGAGAGAGAGAGAACAAGCATTAAAATATGACTAAGTCTCTCTTAAAGGCTATTCATTAAACTCTTATTTTCAACTCCCAGACAGAGGCAAACAGAAAAGACAAAACAATGTTTCCAAAAGAAGGCCCAAATGAAAAATGAACTGTTAGAGAAAACTGAATGTGTCAATGTTAAGCACTCACCAAACAGGTGTTGTTGCAGCAGGGTCCATCACTGCAGTGCGCTCCGTTAGACAAAGAACATTTCTTGCAGCATTCCTTATAGCACTCCTATAACACCCACACGAAAGGGTGAGAAGAAGATTATCATAACAACAATGCTCGAATGAAACACTTCAGGTAATGACTGTAAAGCACTGCAGTGAATGTAACGCAGAGCATTGGTAAGGTAAGATAATAAGAATGAATGGACATTACTGCAGGATGGTGTGCTAACTCACGGCTCTCACTCCACAGTCACACTCCTCTCCCACTTCCACGTAACCATTGCCACACTCCGTTGGCTCAAACAGCTGCACAGGAGAAACACCACAGAAACCAGTTATGCCTCTTTGGCAAATGCATGTACTAGTGAAGTCTTCTTAACTCTGATGAGAGGCTGGCCAAAGAATGTAATCTTAGGCCAAATCATATGCTGAGAGGATGCCCTCTTGTGATGAAGGCGTTTTTACACATAAGTCCATAATATTCCGTTACCCTGCTTTGCTGAGATCCTGTAGTTCTTTTCCTAAGATGATCATAAACCAGTGATTGGTCTATGCACATCCCACTTTTATATCATGTTTGCGGATGGCAGTGGACCAAAAACACAAAACAATTTACGAGTAAAGAAGAAGGTGGGTTGCAAACATTTCACTATATTTTTGTTACTAGAAGTAATTAGAAAATGCTCCCTTAAAATAAAAAATAAGTAACTATATAAAATGAAAATGAATTAAAATCATGTTTGTACTCTCGTTGGTTGAGATGGTTTGGGAGTGATCTGATAGGCCTAATCAAACATCCTCTCCACTTCTAAGAGCCCTGATGTAATACATTCACTAGTGCAGTACAAACGTAGCCTGGTTGATCTTTATGTCTTTATCTAGGGGGTTAAGAGGCATACACTTATTATTGTGGGACTAAAGATACAGTACCGTGCAATGGCCAGAGGCCATCCTTTCATTAATTTCATTTCCAGTCAAAATGGCCATTAAGAACAATAATTCATTTTGCTGTGGCAGAAAAAAATCAGAAAACATATATTTAACAGAAAACAGAAGCCTCAACAACTAAATACTACATTTTTTCAGTATTTAGTGTGTTCATCCTTTGCCTTTATTCCTTATTCATTCTTTTCAAGAGACTTGCTTTCAGTTTTTCAAAGAAATCTGCAGCAATATTTTTCAACACCTCCAAAGTTCAGTCTTAGAAGTTGTTCGCATTTCCTGCTTTTCACAATTCATGTAATCCCAAATACAAATTTAGACACAAAAAACTTACTCCACATTTCTAATGACCATTCACAGTATTCTGGTGTAAATTCTCTTCCTTTTCTCAGTAAGAGCTGGAAGGATGGACAGAAATTTCTGTGGATTTTTTTCAGATCTGAAGTAAGAGTGGAACTTAATTTTCTCTGCAAGATTAAAGCTTTAATTACTGTTTATCTGAAGGTGACAGTTTTGGTGGTCTAAAATGCTGGTCTTGCACTGTTGTTAGGAGTCCCATTTTCTCTGTATCCCTTAATATGTTTTTGTAAGCTCCTGTTTTTTTCACTCATTTCCTTTTGACACCTCTGTTCCTTATGCAAATCCTTTATTTTACATCTAATCTCCTCAGAATTGTCTCCTTTAGCCATTAGATATGCATATGAGAAAGAAATCTGAAGGCAGCTAAAATGAGCTTGGGTAGTTGCTTGTGTGAATGTTAGTGTCTCTTTGAAGGGGAACATAATGTCAGTGACTCCTTTGGGAACTGGTTTAAGATTAGAAGGATGGAAAAAAGTGGCAGTAGAGTGCACGAAAGCAAGAGTGGAATTAAATAAACACAAGGGTGGTCTCTAACCCATGCAGAATTATCTATAACTCTAATGGCTGACAATATCTCACCTTGGTGGGTCTGTTGAAGAGGCAGGATCCTCCTCCCTTCAGAAGGAACTCTTTATAGTCTGATATGCTGCATTTAGAGAACTTTCTAGGGTGCTGCACTCTACAGCAGAGGTAAGAGGAGAGAGAGAGAGAAAGAGAGAGAAAATATAAATAAAAGCCAGATTGGTGTAAAATCAATAGGCTCAGAGGTATTGTACGCTGAAAGGTATTATGTATTATGTGGTGTACAACAGCATCACAGGTGCTGTTAAAGCCACGCAGTGATATTTATCATGCAATGACAGCTACTTTCAGATGCTAAACAGGTTAATGGACTTAGAACCAGCTGGCTAAATGATCACACCCTTTCATCACAGAACACACACAGACCATTATGGACTGAGCAAAGAACACAAAGCACACATTATCAAAAAGGGACAAACATGTTGTGGCACTCATGCTAACTATGCCATATGTAAATAAACAACAATAATAGCAATGGACTTAATGAAGCCTCTTTGACACCAAACCCTGTCATTATAACCGCAGCTGCGTGAGTGTGTGTATTTGTGCGCTGTGGTAGAATACAGTAGCTCACCCTGTGTCTTCCATGATGCAGCCCACCCAAGAGTCCACACATCCACACTCCTCTGAGACAGAAAACACACACAGTGGCAAAACATTAATACAAAATGAGAGCACATAAAGAAAAGGGAAAAAACAAGGTCTAGTAACTCTTTGTAACCCTTGGGAAACTCCAGTGTTTTTCAATCTAATCTCTATATGTGGCATCTGTAGTACTGTGCAAAAGAATAAGCACCTAAGCACATTGTTTAAAACCATTTATCTGGACAGTAAGTGTGTTTATGTTTTAGAAACACTATGTAATATTAGGATAGATGCAAATAAAAGTAACAATAATAATAATAACAGTAAAAGTACAAAATAACAAGACTTTGTTAAATGTAATTTATATCTTCTGAACTACTTACAAGAAGGCAGGTTTTGTTCCAGAATTTTTCTTTCTGTCACATTAATTTTTTCAAATCCACTGCCAACACACCTGATTCAATTTAATTTAAGCATTGATTGGCCAAACCAGGTATTAAATGATGTCTACCAATAATACCCGGCTGCCACAAGGGGAGGTTTGGAAACACATTAACATACATCACTACTTATTTACTTCATTATATCATGCATATTTATTCTAATATATGTGTTCTTCTGAGCAACCCTTCCTGCCCAGTCAAACTGCTTTTTGAATACAATTTTCTATGGGGGCCTAAGATTTTTGCACAGTACCCTATATTGTACAGTTGATTACCACTGACCATCATTTTAAGACGTTTCCCTGTACTTAGTCATAGAACAGCAAAACTACTGAGTCAAAACACATTCATAACAGAAGTATACTGAAGCACCTACCCACTGGCTTCTATTATAAGTGTTTTATAAGTCTGTGGTAATAACTGCATGCCATAATGTTGTATGCAGAAGTTTGAAAACCCCTGGTCAAATTATATATTTTACTTATTTTCTTAGTGAAAATAAGTTAAAACACCCTCTACAGACAACAAACATAAATATTTGTCTGAGTGTTACGGGTCTCCCTTGTCCCCTTCTTTTTGCTTTTGTATTGTAGATTGCCCTGTACTCTCCTGTGTATATAATAAGTCTGGGGGTGCCGTGTGCTGTGGTTGATGTTCTTCCTGGGATGTAAACTATAAAAGAAGCAGGAAAATTAAGAGAAGCTCTCTCACTAACCCTGCCCCTGTGCTGCTGGTCCCTGTGTTTTTTACACATACATATAAAATGAGTCCTTTTGACACCTCTGTTCCTTATGCAAATCCTTTATTTTACATCTAATCTCCTCAGAATTGTCTCCTTTAGCCATTAGATATGCATATGAGAAAGAAATCTGAAGGCAGCTAAAATGAGCTTGGGTATATGCACAACTTTTTGCACAAGACACATTAAGCTTGTAGTCCAATATTTTAAATACAACAAACAAACAGCAGTTTGTGCAAAAGTGTTTGCATACTACTGTACATGTAGTGGATGGGATTAGGTTGAACAACACTGTAGTATTCCTTTAAGTTAAAAGTCTCTATGTATCTACAGTGCATGTGTGTGTGCATACTGCTCTTTCTGGCTGCTGGATCCCACCGAATGCCGAGGTTCTGGGCCAGACTCTGGGATAGCGATACAGCCATTGTCCATGTAGACCCGTACTGCACAAACATCATTCACAGTTTATATTACCATACCTGTATAGTACCTGCAGCCATTCACAAACATTTTGCCACTCAACCAGTAGAGAACAATAAAGAACATGCTGTGCTGCAATGTACAGTTGTACATGAATAACTATATAACTGTAATATACTGGCTCAAAAAGAATTGCTCAGATGCATGTTACACATTGGTGTTCAGCATGAATTGTTCAGGTGCACAAAAGTCAAACATGATGAGTTTTAAGGAATTAAAGGGATCTATCCCTTTTGTTTACTTAAAGGAAGAGAAACCAAAAAAGGATATTCCAATAAGGCAAAACGCTGAACCATGAATTAAACTAGGGGTTTGAGGATGATGAAGTTCAGGTAATTACATGGCCAGCGCAATTACAAGATTTAAACCACACTGAGCTCTTGTGGGACTACACTGGGGAATATGTGGAAAAGAAAAATCCAACCACTGTGGATGGTCTGTGGATAGCAGTGATGAATACATGGGAAGAACTTCCTTAGTTTATTCAAGTCTTTATGAAAGACCAAAAGTCCAAAGTAACTCAGACAACCTTACTAATTGGTGAATTGAGCTACTTTAAGGTGAACCCATTGCTGACATAGGTATTCAGTTACACATACAGCTTGTATAATCTTCACAGACAAGCAGTGCCAGTAGAATGAGATACTATAGGGCAAACACAGAATTAATCATCCAACATTAATACCTGACTTTACTACTGCTTTTGTGTCTAAATGCAACATCTAGTGTAAACCCTTCCAAGTAGAGTTGAGACTGTTACTGCAAAAAAGGGGGGGCGAACTCCCTATCAGTACCCTTGATTTCAGAAAAAAACATTGGCTGAGCTACAAACTACTGACATTCACTCTCAGTTGTTCCTATGTTTGCACTCATATTTTGGTATTAATCAGATATTATTACAAAAAACAACATTTGAGCAATTATTTTTGACTTCCAGTGTAATAGTACTACATAGATAACTCTGAATCAATGCCTACAAATGTGAAGCCCCTCATAAATAGAGGCCTGTTTGATTTTCTAACCTCATTCACTCCGACACCACGACTAACTGAACACATCCCTCCAAAGAATGCGGCGCTGCTCTGGCGGTAGTGAAAAGTCACATTGCTGCAGATATACACAAGGAGATTCCCCTTAGTCCAGTGCAGGGTGTGAATAAACAAGTCGCAAATTATGCTAATGAGGCTGTTCAATGTAGTCATGTAGAAGAATGAAGAGAGAATGAGAGAATTGGCTGACTCACGAGAACAGGTGAACAGCGTCTGTGTGCTGCTTGATGTGCTGCTGACGATATTTAGAAAAGTCTCGCAGCATATCCAGTGGCATCACACTGATTGGAATATGGTCCTTATCTGTCCAGATCTCCATAGCAACCAGGACTACACGTGTGTTTAAGTGTTCTTTAAAGATCTTCCATCAGAGAGAGAGAGAGGAATACAGGGAGAAAGGGAAAACAGGGTGAGGAAGAATAGAAAATGGAAAGTGAGAGTAGAGAGGGAGCATGACAGTAATACAGATAGAGACAGAAAGGGAAGGGAGTTCAGAAAAGTTAAATGAAGTGAGAGTGTGACAGAGGATGATACAGTGACAGGGTGAACACCAGGTGTGAATTAGAGAAGGCCTGACTTGGTCCAAACACTGTAAACACGACACACTGAACAGAGTACAGGGGGGCAGAGAAAACAAGAGCTGTTAGATGCGCTAGATAGATAGATAGATAGATAGATAGATAGATAGACAGACAGATAGACAGACAGATAGACAGACTGATATATGCATAGATAGATAAGACAGAAAGTAGGGCCCAACTGGTATATCAGTTGCTTGATAATATCAACCGATATTGAGGGGCTGCAAATTTATCTCCATCATTGAAATTCCCACTGATAAGGCAGTGACAATTAGTGGCTTTGACATGAAGAAAATAGTTTACTTTGGAGAATCAGTTTCTTGTTCATATGTCAGTCAGTCAGAGACTACTGAACTCAAAACACTGTATCATGGTAAAATAACAACTGGTTAAATTGTTAAATGCATCAAAACTTTTAGGATGAGGATAACATATAACAAAAACTTCTTTCTATAAAGAAAATTAGTGAACAATGAAAAAAGGTAATTAACAGAAACCAAAACTGCTCAGAATTCTGTGCTACAATATTAATTTAAGGGTTTAAGAAACATAGCAATTGAGAACTGACAACTCTATCAGCCAGTAAAGCACTGTTTAACTAAAACTACTGTAGTACAAAAGTAGAATATAAAATGTAAATGTTAAATATAAGTATATCGGCCAATATTATCAGTTACCAGAATTTCAGTCTGTTATAGTTGGTCACAAAAGTTTCATTTCAGGCAGGCTCAATAGATAGACAGTGTAGAAATGAGTTAAAGCTGCAGCAAGTACTCTCGTATGTAAAATTTGGGCACCCCTAGTCAAATAACTTTTTGCTGATTTTCTAAATGAAAATAAGTTTACACATCCTCTACAGAGAACACACTTCTGCATATTTTAATGCACAATTGTGGCCTGTGCAAACATCATGGCACATTTTATGTTCTCTGTTTCATTGTTTCCCAATGCATTAAACTCAGCAAATGAATAGTAATTGTGCACTTAAATTGGCAGAAAATGCCATGCCTAAGTTCATCCCCTGCAGAGAATCTGTTTTCACGTAGAAAATCAGCAACATAATTTGACTGGGGTTGTGCAAACCTTTGCACTGTACATTTGCAATGTGTTATATCTGCTCAAGCTTCATAAAAGATCTGCAACACAAAAGAGGTCAAGCCTATATCGTAAAACATACAAAAAGCATTCACTATACTGTTTTAGAACAGAACTCAAATTGAAAAGTGAAACATCACATTACGTATCACTCAGATTCAAACACTAAATTTCTGTAAAGAGGCTTCATCAAACGATTTAAGGATGTCACACCTATGCCAGGATGAGGAATGCACACAATCTACATTTTGCACAGAAATGATCAAGCCTTCCTGACTATTGCTGAATTTAACTTTATTTAATTTATCAATTTAATATGATTTAACAGCGTACGCATTTGTCATTTAAAAAAAGGTAAAAGTAACTCACGGCATCCACCAGGTTGACCACAGACTTTGCAAAGTTCCGAGTCTGCTGCTTGGTTTTCTGCCTCTTAAACTGTGAAAAAAAGGAGAATCAGTCACTTAAATGCACTTAAATACTTAAATATAGTGGTTCATTTGAGTCCAATACTTCTGTATTTGAAAAACTTTTGATAAAATATTACTTTAATACGAGCGTATTCTGTCTATTTTTTTTACTTGAGTTTACTTACTATAAAGCAAAGTAAAATGACTTTGTTTTTATAGCTACTATGTTACATCTGGCCGATGAACAAGTTCTATTATGGATATCTGTGTTGCTGTAGACATGGAAAAACTTTATTAGCTGTTTGTTTCTGCAGCCACACTGGCATCATTAATAGACCCTGTTCATCAACATGATATAACTAAACAGCTCTATAACTTGTATTACCTTTACTTTTGATACTCACATTCCCTCACAAGCAGGTACTTTTGTTCTTTTGCTAGAAGAAGTAGAAATACAGACAGAATACCTGTACTCTCACTCAAGTAATATTTCACCAAGAGTATTTCTACTTTTACTCAAAAACCTACAGCTGTGTTGTATTTTGTCCATACATGGTGATTAGTAACTAGTACATTTAATCAGTCTCATGAACTTAAACCAAGTAGGTCTCTTAGATCCATGGATTCAGGTCAGCTAGTAGAGCACAGAGTCCATATTAAACAGTATTTAGCTTTTATGCTGTACAGAACTGGAACAAACTGCCAGAAGATCTTAGATGTGGCCCAAATGTAGTGATTTTTAAATCCAGGTAAAGAACATTTCTCTTTTAATGTGCTTATGACTGAGCTTTAAAATACACACTCTAGTTTTACTGCACTTAACTGTAATAAATAAGCTAAATTTAACACTTAAGCCCTTTGCCTTTAATTTCCTTTTATGGTTTTATTTTGCCTTTATGTACATTGTACTTCCTTTTAATTATGTTTTTGAAATTTTAAGATACTGTTCATTTATTTTTATTTACAATTATTGATTTTCACTTTTAAGCACTTTGTTGTTATTTTTCCTTTGATATTCCTTTTTGCTTTTTATTTATGTAAAGCCTTACTTTTTAATTCACTAACATTTAGTTACTACTCTCTTTTTTGGTCTTTAATTTCATTCACCCTGGTGATAGCATTTGCACTTCTTTGTGAGTGGTCACACCTCTAACTACTAAGGTTTATGATTTTATTTTAGACCAATAGTGTAAAAAAAGAGAAGATGCTGATGTACTAAGTTCCACTGCAGTCCTTCGTAAGGTTTTACGTTTACTTGAGTCATATAATTGCAGTAACTTTACTTTTTTCTTGAGTACGGGTTTAGGTTACTCTATCCACCTTGTCTTAAATGAGAATGCTGCCCCTTTTTGCTACAAATCTCAATGTTGGACCTACATCTATCTATTGACTGAGAGGTGTTTCTGAAAAAGTAATACGAGCGCCCTCCTGTGGCCACTGCTTTCACTGTGCACTCCAGTAACTGTGATCATATATCTGCAAGCCAAGAAATTGCATATTAATGACTGTCTCCACTGAAACAGAAGCCTTTTCTCCTTTTGTAGGAATCCCCAACTGAGGTTTCCTTAAACTTTCTCATGTTTCTCTTATTGTGCCTGCTGGAATCTGTGACTATTTACATCAACACTATTTACTTAACTCTTCCGTAAACATCAATACATAACATAGCTATCCCTCAAACATAAACACTGGTCAGACACACAAATAAACATACACTCACCATGTTGTGGTCACTGACAATCATGAGCTCTATGTACTTCATCTCTTCAAACACATTCCTTGGCATCTAAAAGAGAAACAGACGTTATGTAAGCAACCACAGCCTGGCCACATTTTCAACATTACGAAAGTTTAAAACAGCACAGCTGTTGTGAAATGACTGTTAGTGCCAAGATTAAATCTCTGCCAGTGCTCATCATGTTGTAGCTGTTGTGTGTTAACAGCACATACCAAAACAAACAGTCTGTGATTTAGAACTTAAAGATCTGTTTCAAGCAATGCTGATAACAGGTTTAGACATAAAGGTGTGTCAACAGCACGTATTAGAGCATTCTGTAGAGAAGACGGCTGCACAATATGGACAGAATATCAGTTTCAATGGATGTCGGTATGGGGACGATATTAGAGGAATTGCTAATGCTGGATTGGATATCAAAGGGAAAAAAGTATAAAATCTGATCTTATCCTATAACAAATCTAGCCTGAAATAGCACACACTCACATTGTGTGATGTAGATGTTATTAGCTCTGTATTTCTTCCTGTGAGTTAGTGCAGTGATTGAGTAGTTTGAGCATGACAGCTTACTTTTAGATGCTCACCTTAAGTGAAGTGCTTTAATTAAAATTAGCTCATTTTAAAGCTTAGTAGTAAGAAGAATTTGTATCAATAACAGTATCGGTCAATACTGAAAATTTCAACATAAGTATTAGTATCTTAAAAGAAAGAGTGGTATTGTGCCATCTCTAGAGATTATATTACTACAGTGGGGTGTGAAAGTCTTGGACCACCCTGAAAATCTGGGATTTTTATCATTTAAACCTGAAAATAAACTGAAAGCTTTAAATTAAAAGAATTAAAACAAAGAGAAGTTATGACGAGTAAAACAAATCAGAAATGAAATTAAAAATTTACACTATTTCTAGGTTAATTTCTGCATAATTAAATTGTTGAGATGTAAGCAAAGCCATTCAGAGTGGTTTGATGTGAAATGCTTAGTTCTACAAAAACTTACAAAGTCAGAACTTTTCACAGTGATGGTGGAACCAGACTTCACATGAAACCACTCTGAATGACTTCATAGAAATGTTAACCACTGAATTATGTCGAAATTATGTACCACTGGAATTCCCCAGTCTGTGAAATTCCCCTTTAAGCAAATTTGTGACATTGACCATATTAAGACTTCAGCACATAAAGATCACACTTTTTTAGTCTTATCCCTTCCATTGAAGCATTTCAGAGTCCATGCCAGCTCAAGTGTACAGTCATTAAAGAAAAAGAAGCACATACCAAACACTAAGCAATTCTGAAATGATTCTACGTTTCACTCAATGCAGATATCATTTGCAATTTTGATTTAAATTGTAATCATTTGTATTTTACATTAAAAAAGAATGCAAATGGGACATTCTCACTTGGGGTCTCATTTTTGGACCCCACTGTACTGTGAATGAGATATATTAAAGACTGGCCTACATTATTTTGACCTCTTTTGGTCTATATAATAACATGAATGGTTTTGAGTTCATCAGTCATCAAGATAGCAGTATAGGTCAATATTGTGATAACAGATACCAAACAATATATTGCACAGCCTTAGCTGAGAGGAGTGTAATGTCATGTGACTGATGTTGGCTGCTGGCTGAGAGCTGGACTGCCCATCTGTGTGTTAGTAACTAAGGTTACGCCGTGGACGAGCTCAGCCCTGTGTGCAGCTGAGGAGGAGGAGTCCCCCTCACATGCTTACAGCTCGCTTTTTCCTGCGCTGGAGCCAAGACATATCATCCATCTCAGAAAGCAACAGCTCCTCCTCGTCTCCTGCGCACACACACAAACAAACACAAATCTTATAACAAGGTTTTATTTTGTTCTGTCACCAAGGACAAGATGTTCCTATTTTTGTTTCAGTCTTCCTTTTAAAACTGAGATAAGTGTCCCCCAAAAAATAACATGAAAGCAGCTCAATGCTAAGTTAAATCCCCAGTCAGGATGTTTGTAGTGCTAAATTACACATAAGACAAAAATGCCTATATAAAATCAGTGTAAGAGGGTTTTGTTTGTTTATTCTCTAACCGAGAATCTTTATTCTCTAACTTCTCCATGAAGACGAGATACTGAGGCTGGCAAAGATAATATGAATGAATAGATATTTAACCTGATTCCTGCTGGAGAAGGTATTTATTGTGTGGCTGAGCATGAGTTAAATACAGGGCATTCTGTTGCCAAACGCAACCAATTCAAATAAGGCTTCACATCAGTTATGCAGAAGAGCAGGGTAATTTGTTTAAAATAAGTCTAGCCAAGACTAGCTCAGCAAACTAGTATTCGGATAATGTTGGAGTTTTAACCTGATAAATATACACACTATAAGCCGAAGTTTCCTATAACAAATGAGTGTCCGTCATATTTAAAACACGACTAGTGCTGCGCCATAATAAAGGGCCTATATGGGAAATTGAATTTTGCTCATTTTTTAAATAAAAGAAATGGATGTAGTATATAAGCACTGCTACAGTTGCAAAACATACTCAGTACATTTACTCCCCAGTTCATATGGTCCATGCATGGGAACTAAGCTGTAGAAACAGCCTGTTTTGAAGTAATTTTTCTGTGATGTCACAAAAACCAACATATACAGCCTACAAGTTAGCTCCACCCATTTACACTGAAGTTATAAGCACTGTTTCAGCATTGACTGGTTTTTGAATGAGGCACAATACAAGCAGCAGAAAAGACATCATTTACATATATCAGTCTTAAAGACACAGTAACAAAAACAGCATGTTGAATTCTGAGGGATAAAGAAAGGTTGGAAAATCATCATGTAAACATGAACCATGACTGTTTTGGGTACACAAAATTATACAAATGTCACAAATAGACCTCAGGGGAAAAAATAAAATGCTTCAAAAATGTAGGATATGTGCTCTTTCACAAAGCTAGCTAATTGTAAGAGAAACCAAGAGCAAATTCTCAACAATTAATAACTATTCTGAAATTTGGCTTTGGAAATATAGAAATAACAACAACAGTTAAGCAGCCCAAAAAGTCACCTTTGTATCATTCAGACTGACTTATAAAAAGGAATGCTTTTTTGTGCCATTTCTCCACTGTTGGTTCAGATTTCGCAGAAACATTCTCAGAGGTAATTATTGGACACATTTACTGGAAAGCATTTGAAGAATGACATATTTTCCATGTTTCTGTTGGAAACTCATTTCCTCCACTGACTCTTTCACAAAGCCTGTAGCCATATTCTGTGTTAGCAGATTAAGTCCAGATCACAAAGTCAGTTTGCAGCTTCAAGGATGTATCTGTGTGTAAACATAATCACTACATAACTACAAGAAGCATCTCACACGCATTTAGAAAGACTAAGAAACTGAATCCTTCACATAGTCTACACGGGCTGATGTCTAAAGATTAAGACGTACCACTAACCTGGACACACAGGTGAAAAGTAGGCTAAGCTTTAATTAAAAGAAAGTATACCTCCATCCTCTGGGTCACGAGATTGCAGCAAACTAGGTGTCCTGCGCAACATATGCGGTCTAGCAGCTCCATCCTAAATCCACATCACAAAGGAAATAGATAATGCAGGTACTTTCTATTAGACATCCATGTTTGTAGACAAAACTGCAAAAAGTATTACACAAAAAAGTAGTAGTGGGAACAGTGGTACTAATAGATGCAGTAGTGCTCCATTAGGGGAGAGCAGGGCACAAACTAACACATTTTGGGTTTGTTAAATAATTTTTAAATATCGGAGCAAGATTATTTTTTATACAAGCAACCTATATATTTCTGCTGTAAATAAGAACATAAACTTTGTTTTGTCCATTGACTTACATTAAAAGTGAAGTATGTATTTTCCTTCTCCTGCAATATATATATATATATATATATATATATATATATATATATACATACACACAATAATAACTTATATGATGGATAGACTTTCCAAAACTGGAGTTAAAAAAATTTGGAAAAGATATCGAAAAAATTTAACTACTAACAACTGTGCAAGACCTGGTAGACCAACAAAACTGTCATCATCAGATAAACAGTACTTCAAGCTTTCATCTTTGAGAAAGAGGAGAAAATTAAGCTCCACTCTTGCTTCAGATCTTATCCATGAACATGGTGGCTGATAAAATACAGTACACAAGAACTCACAAGCAGGATGAACAAATGCAATGCACAACAACCAAATAAGGAAACACAGGGGTATATTCTAAATCCAGGACAGAAACACCAGGGACAGGAGGAGTAACAAAGAACAAACAAGTGGGAGCACTAATGAAAGGTGTGAGTTGGGTGGAGACAGGAACCAAAACAAAAGCACATGGCTAGGAGGCATGAAGGAGCAGAGGTGAGATAGGGGCTATGTCCAGAAACTTGTGCTGCTGCTCCAGTCCTTCCCCTCCCTTCCTACTACTCCTCTCCTACCCCGGAAGAACGTGGAGAAATCGAGGAGAGAAAAGGAGCAGAAACTGGGGAACTGGGACAGCTGATTCCTTTCAATGTCAGTAAAGCTGATGTAGACTATTGATAAACTGAGCCTATCGCAACGTTTGCTTGAAAGCACTCCACTAATATTCGGGTATCCAATCACAGCTGCTACACAGTGCTAGCTAAATCAGTTTTGTGCCATTTTCTTCCCCATGTTTTTTTTTTTTTACAAAGTACAAAATACACAACACAGAGAATATATAAAGAAACAAAACACAGAATTTATGTTTGTCCGTTCTCTCTGGGCGTGCGTGCAGAGAGATCACTCTGACACCTAATAAAATTCAGAAGCGTCTTCAGTATTTTAAGTGGCTTCTCTTGTCTCCTCCGGTATTCGGACAGCTGCTAAGACGCCATTACGAAACTGGTTTCTGGGTCATGGAGGAGAGAAGGAGGATTAGTAGAAAAAGCTGTAACTTTCAAGGTTTCTGGATGCAGCCTGGGAGCAGAAAATGCAACCAACATCTAAGACTGAACTTTGAAGGCATTGAAAACAACTTCCCCGAAAAGAATAGAAGCTGTAATAAAGGAAAAGACCAAAAAGTAGAATATTATATTAATTATAAGGCTGTTATGTTTTCTTCTGTCATGTATATGTGTTTTTGCTTTTTTCTGACACTGAAAAGTGAACAGCTGTTTTGACTGGAAACTAATTAAACGAAGAGTGGTCTCTGACTTTACTATACGTTCATTTTTTGTCTACCCTGCTGAAAAGCACAGACCAGCATGCATTCCATACTGGTCTGTGCTGGTTTAAGCAGGTCTGGTGCTGGTTTAGCTGGTTTAATCATCTACGGCTCTGTTCATCATTGTGGACACATCTAAAAATGATTTTTTTAGCTTTCTACTAATTATTGGAAACCTATGAAGCTGTACAGGACTAAGACAGTAGAATCATTTTGTGCATGTATGGTGCATATTACAGCCACCAAGAGGGTGATTAAAATAATATAGGTGTGAACTGTGTGACCAGTACACACAGCTGAGTAATCAAAACACTGTTCATCGTACAAAAAACAGTCTTCTGGGTGAATCTTGGGTGAGATGGCTGTCAGATTGCTATGAAAGTGTCCAGATCACATTGCTTTAGGAACACCAGAACATGAACAAAAGCACATACTACTATAATCCATTTGAATAAATAAAAAAAAAATCTGTTATATTTTACCTCGTGTTAGGTTGTGCCCTGTGCTCACCTACTGTTGTCTGAAAGTTTGAGTTTGCAAAGCACTTACAATAGAGTGAGTCTGTTTCAAAGGCTCAATCAGATACACATGAACTCCATCATCAAACATGCCACTGGCAGCCAGAGAGAGAAGGAAAAAAGCAGGAAACATCAATGAAAGCGATGAGGCTTTTACTGAAGTCTTTTCTAAAGAGGATGCTCAGAAACGTTGTGTTCTTATACTTACTGCAAGCCATTACAGGTTGACAGAGCGACACGAGAGGCCTCAACCCCTCTCACCTGACCACGGTAATAACAGTGTTCACCACCCTGAGAACACACACACAAGGTCACACTATGAGCAGAGATCTTACAAACAAATGATTCATTAAACTGCTGAAATCAGTCTGAAGTTCAAATCTCGTTCTGCATGCTGTGGTAGCAGGAATGCTGGAGCAAACACTGTAGACAACAAAACAGTGGTTAGTGAACCTCCAGCACAGAAAGATAAGCAGGTCTATTGTTCTATAGAGCTGATTTATGAGTCAGGCTCTTGCCAGCAGCGTCTCCAAACAGACATATAAAAGCAATGAATCAAAGTCAAGGGGACAAAATAGGGAATTCACAATAAAACAGTAATGCATGTAGTGAACACAAACAGGAACGGTGATTCTTGATATATTTCAAAACTGAACTGTAAGAGCGCTTCTCAGATAACCATAGTGTTCCTAAAATTGCTGTAGAACAATCTTTTATTTGATCATGGCACCTCGTACCAAGTTCCAATTTTTATCATTTCTTGGTGCTGACTACACGCTTAAAAAAGAAGGTTCTTCAAGGGTTCTTTAGTAAAGAAGACGGTTCTATACAGAACTTTGAACACTCAAAGAACCTTTTGCATGATTGAAGGGTTCTTTGCATTGTGAAATGTTTCTTCAGATTAATGGAGAATGTGCTGTAGATGATGGTTCTGTATATGACCTTCTTGGAAATGGCTCTATATAGCACTGAAATGGGTTCTTCTATTGTTACAAGCTTGAAGTTGTTAGCAGACTTGTAGCAGACTCTATTTGGGTGCTATATAGAACCCTTTGCAAAAAGGTTCTTTATAGAACCATCTACAGCACATTCTCCATCAATCTGAAGAAACATTTCACAATGCAAAGAACCCTTCAATCATGCAAAAGGTTCTTTGAGTGTTCAAAGTTCTATATAAAACCATTTTCTTTACTAGAGAACCCTTGAAGAACCATACACCTTGAAGTGTGCACCAGTGTAGTTCTTTACTGAGTGTTTCGGTCCCTCTAGCAAAATTCTGTGCAGTGGTTGCCTTTGACAATACCAGGCTTGCAGTGCATTACTGTAGCACAGTAGTTTATAATCCCAAATATAATTAAGTTGTACTAGAAGTGTCCCACTAGGAAAAAACTAATAAATCTTTCCCTAGCAGCCTGTAACAGCAGTAGTAGGATTAGCACATGGGCTCTGTATTATAAAAAAAAAGAGTTCTCAGTTCTGCCAAGGCAAAGTGGAGTGCACATCTCCAATACAGATCATTTAAATATCACTATTAGTGTCTTTATATTATTAAATGACATCACAACACACCATTAATCCAGGTAGAATGGAAAGACAGTAGTTCGTTTATTTATCCTTTTTAAGTCAGGGTAGTTTAATCTCGCATGCAGCCCATGGTGTGGCTCTGCTAGAGCTCTGCTAGAGCGTGTACTCTCAGGGTGAGAAGGGGACATGCACACCCTATCTCATTTGCTCATTCTCCTAATCTCGTTCCCAGACCCACTCCCTCAACCTCTCTTTCCTTCTTTCTCACTCTCCGTCTAGTTCTCTTTTCCTGTCTCATTAATTCTCTCTCTTTCATATAGCCTCTCTCTTTCTTATTCTCTGGCTTGTCCCATAACTCTCTCTCTCTCACTGACAGGTTTCCCACGCTGCATTGCTACTGCAGAGTAAGGTTGGCTGGTCACATGACCTGAGCTGCAGGCCAGCACAGTTTTGCTGAGTCAGCACTGACAAATCCAGCAGCCCATTGCCTAATTCAGCAGCACTCAGCTCTCTCTCTCTCTCTCTGAGCTCTCTCTCTCTCACTCACTCACTCAGCTCTCTCTGTCTCTGAGCTCACTCTCTCTCACTCACTCAATCACTCACTCAGCTCTCAGTCTCTTTCTCTCTCTTTCATTCACTCAGCTCTCTATTTCTCTCTTTCTCTCACTCAGTGCTCTCTCTCTCTCTTTCTCTCTTAGTTCTCTGTCTTTCTCTCACTTAGTTCTCTCTTTCTCTCTCTCTCTGTTTCACTCATTCAGCTCTGTCTCTTTCTCTCTTTTACTCAGCCCTCTCCCTCTTTCTCTCACTCAGGTTTCTGTCCCTTTCTCTCACTCACTCACTCACTCATTCACTCACTCATTTAGCTCTCAGTCTCTTTCTCTCTCTCTAACTCACTCTGCTCTCTCTTTCTCTCTCTCTGTTTCACTCACTCAGGTCTCTGTCCCTTTCTCTCTCTCTCATTCACTCAGCTCTCTGTCTCTTTCTCTCTCACTCAGCTCTCCCCCTCTCTCACACAACTCTCTCCCTCGCTCACTCAACTCTCTCCCTCGCTCACGCAACTGTCTCTCTTTCTCTCTCTTACTCTCTCAGCTCTCTCTTTCCCTATCAGCTCTCTTCATCGCTCTCAGCTCTCTCATTCCCTCGCTCTTTCCTATCAGCTCTCTCTCTCCTTCATCTTCTCTGTTTCTCTCACCCCAACTCTCTCTATCTTTCCCTCTCAGCTCTTTCCTCTATCCCTCTAATACAAATCTTAATTCATGTATTTACTCTCCAGTTTTTTGTCCCTCATTCTTTTTTCTTTGTGGATCCAGATTTTCACCTCATGCAGTCACTGTAACCCGATAAAGTCTCACTCTCCATTCATTAAATACAATATTCTGCTTTTTCCAGCCTTTTCTGTCTGTCTCTGTCTCTCAATGAAATTACCACTGAAATTCTCACACATTTATCCCTCTTCCTGCTTGCTGCTTCAAATCTTTCCCCGACTTCACCATCCAAACTCTGCTCATTCTAATATAACACGAATGTATGCATGTACTACACTTTAACATCCAGGCTGTTCATGCAAAAATGTGATTTATATAAATATGTCTCCAACGTTCTTCACATCGTACAGATACAAAACACTAATTCATACCTCATCATTCATGACTGTGTTGTCTGAGATGAAAATAAACTCTGGTACGTGAGGTAATGTCTGCTGCAGTGGAATCAGGGAATCAGGCTGTGAGAACAGAGCGCTAACAGTTACCTTTGACTGGATGGGTTTGTTGTCCTCGTAGTGAATCTCCACATAATCGGAGGACAGTAGGTCACTGTAATACAGACAGAGAACAAGCAGTATGACTTCCTCCAGCTGTGGGCTTAGTCTGCTGAGCTTGGATAACATGTTTTAAAAGTTGCCTAGTCTGGCTCCAGTCCAAGACAGAATACAGGAAACTACTGCAGAAGTGGAGGAGGTCACTCAGTAAAGAAACCTTATGATACAGCCCTAAATATTTCTATATGTTTACTGCCATTATAATGCCAGATTTATTCCTCATACACAATAAAAAGTAAATACTGTAATAGTCCACTTTAAATGATTTATTATCAAGGTCTCATTGGGCTCCCCTTTTCAATTCAGACAGACTGTGGATATTATTACAGCCAGTGTAGACTGCAGAGGTAATGAGAATATTACAGCATACAGCAGCAGACAGAGTGCCACTATACATGCATATTTAGCATGCATATTTCATGGACTGCCTTTATGCATGCACTATTTAGCATGCATATTTCATGGAGAGGACAGGATGTCCACTGTAACTGAGTGCATTTGTCCACTCTTACAAACATGGGCCACATAAGAGGGCATACAGTATTTCAGGGCTATATGAAACTTTAATTATGATCTTAAGCAAAACTGGCAACAAGTAAAAAATTATAAACTTCTGAAAAAAGTCATTTTAATGAATTAAAAGCACCATGGGCATGTAAATTTAATCTTTATCAATTCTTTTTACTCAGAGGGTTTACTTCCCAAGGAAACTATTATATTCCCTGCTAGAGCACTTCTAATAAAGCAGTAGTTACCTTTGACAAGAAAGAATAAATGCAATTTGGCAAAATAAATCTACAGTGGTGTGAAAAAGTGTTTGCCCCCTTCCTGTTTTCTTATTCTTTTGCATGTTTGTCACGCTTAAATGTTTCAGATCACCAAACAAATTTAAATATTAGACAAAGATAACACAAGTAAACACAAAATGCCGTTTATAAATGAAGATCTTTATTATTAAGGGAAAAAGAAATGCAAACCTACAGGGCCCCCCCCTTAAAACATAAATTAACTGTGGTTTATCACAACTTTGGAAAGCTGAGTTCAATTTTCCTAGCCACACCCAGGCCTGATTACTGCCACACCTGTTCTCAATCAAGAAATAACTTAAAAAGGACCTGCCTGACAAAGTGAAGTAGACCAAAAGATCCTCAAAAGCTAGACATCATGCTGCGATCCAAAGAAATTCAGGAACAAATGAAAAACAAAGTAATTGAGATCTATCAGTCTGGAAAAGGTTATAAAGCCATTTCTGTAGCTTTGGGACTCCAGCGAACCACAGTGAGAGCCATTATCCACAAATGGCGTAAACATGGAACAGTGACGAACCTTCCCAGGAGTGGCCGGCCGACCAAAATTACCCCAAGAGCGCAGCGACGACTCATCCAAGAGGTCACAAAAGACCCCAAACAACATCCAAAGAACTGCAGGCCTCACTTGCCTCAGTTAAGGTCAGTGTTCATGACTCCACCATAAGAAAGAGACTGGGCAAAAAAGGCCTGCATGGCAGAGTTCCAAGACGAAAACTCATCTCAGTTTTGCCAGAAAACATCTTGATGATCCCCAAGACTTTTGGGAGAATACTCTGTGGACTGATGAGACAAAAGTTGAACTTTTTGGAAGGTGTATGTCCCATTACATCTGGCAAAGAAGTGACACAGCATTTCAGAAAAGGAACATCATACCAACAGTAAAATATGGTGGTGGTAGTGTGATGGTCTGGGGCGGTTTTGCTGCTTCAGGACCTGGAATGACTTGGTAAATGGAACCATGAATTCTGCTGTCTACCAAAAAATCCTGAAGGAGAATGTCTGACCATCTGTTTGTGTCAAGCTGAAGCGCACTTGGGTTCTGCAGCAGGACAATGAACCAAAACACACCAGTCCAAAAGTCCACCTCTGAATGGCTTAAGAAAAACAAAATTAAGAGTGGAGTGGCCTAGTCAAAGTCCTAACCTGAATCCAATTGAGATGCTGTGGCATGACCTTAAAAAGGCGGTTCATGCTCAGAAACCCTCCAATGTGGCTGAATTACAACAATTCTGCAAAGATGAGTGGGCCAAAATTCCTCCACAGTGATGTAAAAGACTCATTGGCAGTTATCGCAAACGCTTGATTGCAGTTGTTGCTGCTAAGGGTGGCCCAACCAGTTATTAGGTTTAGGGGACAATCACTTTTTCACACAGGGCCCTGTAGGTTTGGATTTCTTTTTCCCATTAATAATAAAGACCTTCATTTATAAACTGCATTTTGTGTTTACTTGTGTTATCTTTGTCTAATATTTAAATTTGTTTGGGGATCTGAAACATTTAAGCGTGACAAACGTGCAAAAGAATAAGAAATCAGGAAGGGGCAAACACTTTTTCACACCATTGTATACTAAATTAGATGAGATTAGACTGGATTATATATATATATATATATATATATATATATATATATATATATATATGATTTTATGTTTATATGTTTTATATTGTTACTTCAGCTAATGAAAAGTGTACTGTAAATGTGTTTCAGGTGTTCATTTAGCCCACACAGTCTGAGCTTCAGGCTTTAAAAAAAAAGCCAAAAAATTGATCATCGATCAGTTTGTCTGTATCGCATTTAGTATCGGCCATAAAATTCATGATCAGTGCATATCTAATCTGCATCTAATAACCCTACAGGCTAGTAGTTTAATTAACAGTTATTACACTACAATAATACAAGATGTTCTGTTAAAGGACGTAATAATGGACAATAATGATGATGGTGAGAGATAAGGATTATATCAGCTAAATGTACTTTGTGAGAATGAAGTGATGCCTGTGTGTGTGTGTGTGTGTGTGTGTGTGTGTATGGGTACTTGCATGTAAAAGAGAGTGAAAGGCGTCATTAATATTGGTGCTCTGTGCTTGATTCACCTTCACTTCCATGTCCTCTAACATTTTCTCACAAACCTGACTCAGCGAGCCAGTATACACACACACACACACACACACACAAATGGAGCCAACACACACTCTTCTCTTAGCTGACTGCCCACTTTAAGAGAATGCACTTTCTGCTACAGAGAGGGTTTTCTTTAACCTTGGAGAAGTGACTCCTATCACAAGCATGTAATACTTGTCTACAGTCTCTAAATGGCTTAACTCCTTAAACCCTAAAGGTCTGTATAAGGATCCACACTTCAATTTCTCACTCTCAGAACTGTATATGATGTCAACACATATTGATGTGTGTGTTTTTGTGTGTGTTTGCATGAAACACACATGAAACTCTACATCAAAGCTGAAAAAAGTCTTTTCCAGGGTATATATTTCCCATGCCATTCTCTTAGTATGCTCAGGCCATCACTACATTATTTCCACACTAAGACTAGGCAAAACCTCTAAACCACAGTAAGCCAGAATCATCCCACTCTACCCCAGAGTTTAAAACCCTTAACCTGCAAGGCCTGTATGTGCAGCCACGCTTCAATACCTCACTCTCACAACTAGACAAATTACAGTACTGTGCAAAAGTCAGAGACCACCCTTTCATTTATTTAATTTCCAGTTAAATTGTTTTAACCACTGGGAATAAGGTATTCATTTTTCAGCATCAGAAACAAAGAAGAAAATATATTTTTAACAGAGAATTCTATAAACGTTCCAACAACTAAATATAATATCAACAGTTTCAATATTTAGTGTGCCCACACTTTGTCTTTGTTGTAGCTTCCATTCTTTTCGCGAGACTTGCGTTTAAGAAATTTAAAGAAATCTGCAGGGGTACTAACACTGAAGTTAGCTGCATTTTCTACTTCTCACAATCAAAGTAAACCCATACACATTCAATGATGTTGAAGTTGGACTCTGTGGTGGTCAGTCCATTGTTCCGAGAACACCAGCAGCTTCTTCATTTGATCTGCAAAAGATTTTTTGTCTATTTCTTTTTCTCAGTAAGGGCTTCTTGAGAGCTACACATCCTTTAAGACTCATAATGTTATCTTCTCACAGTGGAAGGATGTACAGAAACACTTTTTGGATTTTTTCAGATCTCAAGCAAGAGTGGAGTTTTAAAGGGCCCATATCCTTTTCCTTTTCTTTATAACGTCTGCTTATAATGTTTGTGCACTTTTATGCACCAAAAACAGTCATAATTTGTTTTTACATGACAATTTTCCAATCTCTCTTTACCCCTCAGAATTAAATGGGCTGTTTTTGTTACTATGCCTTTAAGACAGATTATATGTAAAGGAGCTATTGTCACTGGATGCCCAGTATTGCGCCTCATTCAAAAGGCAGTCCAAGCTCTCCTTTTCACTTTAACGTAAAGGGGTGGAGTTAAACAGCTGCAGGCTGAATAACTGGATGCATGCAAATATGTAAATGTGTTGGTTTTTATGACATCACAGAAACAGTGAATTCAAAACATTTTAAGCATAATTATCATACATGGATAGACTGAAGGTTGACCGGTATCTGATGCTGACAGTTTTGGTTCTGTTTTTTCACTCAATTTTCTTCAGTTTTGCCATTTCTTTTGCAAGTGGATTATCTTATATCTAAGCTCCCCAGAAATATCAGTATAACTTGTACTTAATGGCCATTTTGATTGGAAATTAAATATATAAAAAGCTGGTCTCTGACTTTTGAACAGTCCTGTATATATTCGTTTCATAGGTACACTGTACAAAATGCACTATATTTACTTGATTTAAATGCTTACATCATTTAGTAAAAGTTAGTAAAACACTTTAATACAGTCACTGTCAGAAGTAAGTAAACTCAAAGGAAAAACTAATACTAATAGTAAAACTAATAGTAAAACTAATAGTAATATATTTTATTAATGAAGAATCTCATGAATTCAGTGCATCAATTTTTATCAGTACAGATCGCAGTTTCTGAATAACAAATCTGTAGTGCAAGGGGTTAAAACACATATCTCCTCACTGACAAATATATTCACAGGCACCAGTGAAGACACTACAAAATTGGTGTAATTAGTTCTAGACTAGGGCTTACTATTAGTACTTACACAGAGAACAGTGAAAACTGTTATTCCTCTGTTATAGGTGTGAGGAATTTAAGGGGTTAATGGAGCTGCAGCTCCCTCTGTTCCTCTGCAGCGCTGCAGAAAGGCTCCCAGAGCAGAGGTCTGGAGCGGCTGAGTGTAGGGTAATTTTAGCACGCAGCCAGAGAGAGAGGGATGTGGAGGACTAAGCAGAATTGTGCTGCACAGGTGCAGTGAGGGAAGGAGAGTAGAGCAGGAGCCACAGGCTGCATGCAGAGAGAGACTGCTATATTTAGATTAGTGCTGCCGCGCAGCCACAACAGCGGCCGGCGCGTGGGCGCAACCCACCCACAACCGCAAACATTTTTTACACCCACTCACAGACCTGAATGTAACTGTGATTCTCAAAGGGGGAAGTGTGTAAGATTCAGTTCAGGTTTTCCTACAATATTAATAGAATCACAATTAATACTACAAAATTCCTCTTATTACCACAAGCATCAGGCTCAAGGCTTGCTTTGAAGATAAGATTAAAGATACATTATAAGCAACACGCATTAAAGAAGCTAGGGCATGAGACAGATACTCTTAGGGCATGAGACAGATACTCTTAACCAGAGAGTCTTTTCTGCATTTCAATTAAAGCAGTGGACTGACAGAGACATGTTTCATTTTCTATTCAATTACAGTAATCAGAGTCGCTCAGGGCTCCAGACCAGCAGAGAGCTGCTCTCTTCTCCACAATAACACTACACACCACACAATGTCAGTGTCATGAGATGTTACAAAGACTTCAAGCTACACTAAATGAGTGAAACAACAACAGCAGTGAGCATATAATCTCGAATATATGCTATATGCTAGACTATAATAAAGTAGAAAAGTAAACTTTGTACTAACACTGCCAAAAAATAGCTTCTAATTATTAACTGTGACAACTACACACTTTGCAATAGTCCGTGTTAGTAAATAAAACCTATGAAGATTTATGATGATGGCTATCCAATCAGTAAACAGTGTGGTTCCATAGACCTAATGAAGTCTAATTAACAGTACTGTTTTTTTTTACTTTTTTGTGTCATTTGAAAATATGACCTTTACAGTGTGTAAAAATTGCAAGATGAATGAACCAATTTAAATTGTCCAAAATTACTTGGACAAAAATAATTTTGTATTAACCGCCATTATATGTTACAAATGCTTTTTCCTTCTCCTGTAAATTTATCATTTCAGAGATAGGAGGTTTTGTTCTGACAGTGATGATATGAGGGTTCATCAGTCACCATGCAAACATGTTCCTTAAATCTCTGTAAGTTTCCTCATTAAAGTGACCACACAGAACTACTACTTTAAGCTTTTTGCTACTCCTACAGAGAAGCAGCAGGAACCAGCTGCTTAGAGGGCCACCTCCTACATCACACTCTATCTGAACTTACAGTAGTTCATCTCTTGAACTGTGTAGAACTGTCTACTATTGACCAGGCTATGATGATGTGAAACCTGATAGACATTAGCATTTTACACATGTATAGGATGAAACAATGCATATAACAGCCTCATGTAAAATACATGATAACAGTGCTATGCTTCTTTAGAACATTTTTTCAACTCTAATGCAAGCATTATAGTTCTGTTGAGGTTAGAGTGCCATAGACCATACTTACTTATTTAATGTGAGGTCCAGTATGAATCTGGACCCGAAGGCCTCAAGCTGAAAGGTGGCTAGGGCCAAATGAACCACCTATGGAAAAAAGGCACTGTTTTACAGTTACAGTTGTACCTGTACTCAGTGAAATTAACACAAGTTAGACACATGTCTCAAAAAGTGTATCTCATTTGGCATTATAGCTTTGCAGTAATCTGAGCTTTGAATCATTGCAGACTGCCAAGAAGATGAGCTGCAGCCAGCTGCTAGAGAGACAGAGGGAGGTCTAACCCCCAAGCAAAAGATACTGCAGTCTGCAAAGTTCAATATCTCTAGCACAAACATTACCTTGAAATAAGCACTAAGGGCATTATACTGAAATCTTACCAATGCATTATAATTACATTCACATCAGTCCTTTTAAAAATGACAGTAGTGACTACACTCACCTGGCCCTGTTGGCCAGGGGTCTTGGCCCAGGTGTTGAGGTTATGGTAGGTGCTCTCTGAGTCTTCGTTCAGGTAGTAGATGAGGCGAGAAGGGTAGGTGATTGTGTGTTCGACCTCCTGACCGCTCCTGTTCTGTGTGTGTGCTGGCGCAGTAGCATCCTGCTCCACCCGCACTAATACAGCATCCCCACTAGGCTCATTCTCCACTGACACACAGCCATGCACACAAAGCAAGCACACCATTAATGTCTGGTGAATCATTATAGACAGTAACAGCAACCATATGCAATCTTCCTAAAATAGAATACATAGTGTAGGTGTATGTAAAATGCCAATGATGTAGACGGTTCAGGGCATGTAGACTATGGGTGAATCATAAACAGCTCTCTGCTCCTTATTCAGTGAACTACATAGGTCAGGAAACAATGGCTTCTACACCCAAATAGTACAACATGTCTTATAAGCCATTTGGGATTCTATGTCTGTATATATCTTTGTCTAATATCATTCTTTATAACATATTAATTCATTCTGAGTGTGCTGTCTATATGTATTTTGCTGGCATGTCCTTTGTTGTTAAATGTGTTTAAAGTGTGTTCTATAAATGTAAAGCATCCGTAAGCATTGCATATACGCATATAAGACAATATATAAATTACAATGATGAAGATGATGGTGATTAACACTGTTTAATTTATGAGGTTTGTCATATAGACTAATTGAATTGTATCGTCTTAAAATAAAACTGCTGTATTAATTGTTATAAGCTATTCCAAACGTCCGAGGATATAAAAATGTGGACATTTTCTTGCATAATGAGATATTCTTTGAAAAAATTAAAGCATGCTGCATGTATTCTAAAGCCACTTTCTATCTCTATTGATGAACAAAAGCAGCCTGCTAGTGCACTCCTCTCTCCCTCCCCTCTCCACTTAGGACACTTACTGTCCTCAGCATCCACTCACAGGATGTCCTTGCCCTAACACAACCCAGCAGAACTCCCCAATGCTTCAGCTTTGTCAGACACTTCGTATCCCGCTTTAGAAAGCCAGTCAGTCGTAATGTCGAACTGTTACGAGTTTCCTAAGACAATTTGTAATTTAGTGAAAGGTTAATTACGTACCAAGCGATGCTGTGCTGATGGAGGACCGGAGCCCGGAAACGAGGACGCTCACAATCAAATGGGAGATAAATCTCAGCCACATGATTCATAGCTGGTGGTTTGGATCGCGTTGTGTTAACGTATGGATGTTAGAGTCTCTTCATGGTTCCTTCTGGAGATGCTTTACAGGTCTCCTGTAGCGCAGGAGGCGGTGGCCAGCTGCTGGGGGAAAAAGTGATAGTCTTCGAGCAGGATGCTGTGGGCTTTTTACTTTCCCACACGAATTCCGGCAAGCTCGGCTTTTTGCGCTCGTGATTGGCTAGTGCTGTCCACGCGTCCTGTGCTAGGATTGGCTAGTAGTTCATACTCAAAAGCAGTCGGCCTATTGTCTGTAGTGTTTCCCCACTCTTATTCGGACAAGCCCCGCCTCCTTCTAGCCAGTCGTAGCACAGGAGGCGGGGCCTTCCTGAAAACGGGTGGGTGGAATAATAACATCACCGCCTACGAGCATGATGTGACTGCGCAAGTTCTGCGCAGAGTGTTTGTGTTTTTTGTACGTTGGTTAGGACTTTTGAATAAACCATTGATTTGGACTAATTTATTTGGCCTTTTTTGGATGAATGAAGTGTGAAGTTACACTTTCATAGCCTTCATACCTGCACCGTGCAAGGCTTCTAAGGCAGCCTGGCAGGCCCTTTGTGCTGCACTTTCGCTGCATTTCAACAACTCAGAAAGGAGGATGAGGGACAGTTTTTCAGTTATGAAACTGGACAAATACTACATGTACAAGTGTTTGGCATAACAAAGCAGCATCGTATAGTGGCGTCCCTTCACTGGCTGTTATGGGAGTGCAAAAGGTGTGGCCATGCAAAGCGGACATATGAAGGACATATGAAGCTCTCGGTAGGCACCATGTTCGTGGTAGGAGAGACTCTAATGTTTGTTGACGTACTTGCTATCTGCTAGACTAGCGCTGAGTGGTGGTTCTCCCTTGGTCAGGTCAACAAAAGAGCTTTCGCTTTTTCATCTGTAGCTGATGCTACATTGGTGTCAGAAGTGGGTAGCACAGCCTAAGCTGCCTGGTGAGGAATACTCACAAACCAAAATGTGGATGGTAGAGATGACCAAGTCTGGCTGTAGACTACTGACTGTGGCAGTAGAAGCAGTGTAACATGGACAGTTGGCAAAGACCGAGGAAGCATGGTGAGGCTAAGCAGCGGAGCCCAGCCAGAGGACCTGCTGGTGGCATTGGCCGCAGCCCACTGGCAGTGCTTCGGACAGGCGTCGGCTGTGTGGTTGCGTCCTCGAGAGTGGATGGGCGATCTGGCAGCAGAGCTATATGTAGTGGTATATCAGGCGTGTCCAGCATTCGAGGGGACGGTGCAGGAGGAATTAATGCTGGGAGAATTCCTGAGAGCACCACTACCGGAAAAGCTGGCCAGCATCGATAGTTCTGACCAGGGAGGAGAACGCAGTGCTCAGTCTCTCCGCTGTGACGCAACAAAGTGAATGTGGCCCCGAGAAAGGACTGGGCATTTGTATTGATCTGGACAGTATGTACGCATTCTGAAACCCCTGCTGTGGAGAGACTGCAATGTTCATCAGATGCTACAGCATTCATTAAAACCAGTTGTTATTCTCTGCCTGGCAGCATTTGCTCCTAATAGAAGCAGATGTGGCATTCTTCAAAACTCAGTGCTATTCTATTGCAATCAATTCGGTTGGATCTTTCTCCGAAAAAAGAAAAAAAATCGAACTTATTTCAACATTTAACTGGGAGAACAGTCCTTATTCCCCTTAATGTCCATGTCTGAAACTTTCATTTCCTACAATAATGTTCTCTGAACTTGCCTGGCCACAAATCTGAAGAAATCAAATTGATTAAAACATATGGCCAAAAAAATGAATTTTTTATCACTGTATTCGTCTAATTATGTAGTCATTTATTTTTTCTTGTAAGGTGAGGAATTTTGTTGAAAGGATGTGTGCTTCCTGGACCATGTGGGTTGTACAGCTGTGCAACATCTGTTTTATCCATTCTATCAACCTAAGGAAGCATTTAGTCCCTTTTCTATGTTCTGTTCATCTCTATTGTATAAGGGAATATTTGCCTGTAACTTAACACCCGTTTTACCTGTAACAAATACATTTGAATTGGTATTAGCCTGATATAGAACATCGTGTAGAAAACTCAGGCACGTGTAGGTGGTTTTGGATAGAAAAAAGCCTACATTTCTGTTGTAGACATTGCAACACCACTGTAAAGAAATCTGAGTCTGTAAATTTCTCTACAGTGAACCATTTCACGTGAAACCACTCTGCATGACTTCATTTACAACTCAATGATTAAGCAAAAATCTTGGATCATTGTAATTGCTGAATAATTCATAGTAGTTACTGAATAATAAGCCTTAGGAGTTATAACAGACTAATAAACAGAGAGAATAAGGGTTAAATCATATTGCATGGCAGCGTACTAATGTGTGTTTTAAATGTTTTATTTAGCAAGACTTTGCCAAAGCAAAGTTAGCCTTTACACAAACGACAGTGTGCTAGAGCCTGGTAAAATATTTTGTTTTGAATATTTCCCTTAATGTTGTCACAGTAAACAAATCCATGTATGACATAAAGTTAAGTAGCAGACATGCTTATTACTCCATCATCAGCTCTCATTAAGGAGCCAGACGCGGGCTCGTCCAGAGCCTGTTTTTGTATGCTTAAGACAGAGGTCCTGTGTATATGTGTGTGTAGCAGGGTGTAACCAGGCTGAGGAAGTATTTAGCACACACTGGCCCATCCTCTGAGTAACACACACACACACACACACACACACACACAGATACACACACATATACAGGATCTCACACACATCAAAACACAAACGTCCTGTTTATGAAAACAGGCCTTGAGCAAAATGCCAGTTACTCCTGCCCATTTCCAAGCCAATATTAAAAAAACAAATAAATACATTTCTAAAAATCAAAGGTAGCACTGGACACATATAAGTAGTTCCACTGTGACTGAACCCTCTCTGTAAGATGTCCATGAGCTCTCCTGCTGAAGGCCTGAGTGGGGTACTGCCAGTGTGCATGCTTTCGGGAGGATCAAAGAGAAAGACAAAGTTGCTTTATGATGAAGTCGGGAACATTATACACATGCTTTAAATTAGTAGTGCTGATGACTGACCATATAAAATGACATAAGGCATTGGTGGTGCCTATGCTGTGCAATATGTCTGTCAAATCACACCAGCATATGGTACAAATACATTCAGCATCTATCAGCATAACATCTGACATTTGCATCAGATCTGGCACTATTCTTTTGGGATATACAAGTCTGGTCTAAAATAAAGTGATAGATCTGGAAAGTAAAGGGTGTGAGCAGCAACAAAGCAGAACAAGTCACCAACAGACTGTAATTAAACTCAAACAGAAATGAAATATGAAAGGCTAAGTGGAACTGGGTAAAAGCAGTTTCCTTGCCTCACAAATATACTTGAGTAGAAGTAAAACTGTTACCATTTGAAAACTCAGAAAAGCACAAAAACCCACCAAAACGGTACTTAAAGGGGAATTTCACTGAATGTTGCCGACTCATTTGTTTACAGTGGTGGTGATTACAGGAAGCTGAGGTCACGTTGTCTACAAAACAAATATATTGTTTGCTATCCAACTGACATGTTAATCTACATGTGTCTTCTGTATATGTAATGTTAATAATGGTAAACTAATGATAAATCTGGTACCCTGCATGTACCTCTTCACCATGTATGTATATAAAACATTTTAGGACAAATTATTATCTCTAAACTATTGTAAACCATGTCTGAGGCACCAGTTAATGTATTGATAACCATTTTGTGAAGTAGCTTTCTGTGAGGGAGCTACAGGCACTAAATGCTAACAATGATTTTGAAGATGAAAAAAAAAAGAACAAAAAAACAGTGGAATTCCACTTCATAAATAGAACTGAACAAATATAACTAGTAACTATTCACCAATGACTGTATAGGCCTCAAATAACAGTGGTTGGATTTTTTATGCAATACAATTTTTTTTTAAATTAGCAAACAGTTTTTAAAAATTATTTTAAAAATGTTTATTGTACTTACAGACCATTAAAAAGCAATCTATCTCATAATTAAACACATACTATTTCAAGAAATTTAGATATTTTAGATATTTTTTGCAAGTTCATTTAAAAAATGTCAAAATGTCAATTTTAGTAACAGATTTGATAACTTCGTGGTTTTGTATTTGGTAATAAAAATAAACAGTATGTTCCTGATCATGGCAATCGTGATATATCAAATTACATATTTAACCCTCCTGTTGTGTTCGTTTCGGCTAACACTGTTTCCCAGTGTTCCCAGTCACTTTTGACCGGGATCATTTTATTCCGTTATAAATCAACAATAATACATATATTTTCACCTAATGTTGTGTTAGATCTTTTTATAAACTTCAGCTCTTGTGAACATTATAAGTTTTGAACTTGTATTTGCTGTTTATGTCCTGCAGGCCTCATTTACCTGAGCTCATACCGCTCGTTTTTTAGGGAAAAAAACATTATATACATATTATTTTGACTATAACAAATACTAAGATGAAACCTATTTTAGTGTTTGTCACAGAGTACTTCACTAAAATGTTTACCAAAGTCACTTTTTTGAAACCAGTTAAGTTTTCTAAACTGTGGCACAAAATAACAACTTTTGTGTTTCCCGGTCAAAACTGACCGGTATGATTTATTTATTGAAAACAAAAGCCCAAATGTACACAGGGAAAATTTAAGAGAAATGCTTGAACCATACACTGTATGAACATATTTACAATTTTCTATTGTACTCTGAAAAGACAGTGCCATAATGTTATCCTTATGTTCCTCAGTTTTGTCCTCTCATGAGCATGTGGGGCACACAAAGCTAGTTTTTCATCTCTTGGTGCACACAGTTGGCACCTCTTTCTTTTGACTCCTCCTTCTCTGATTGCTGTGGATGTGCTTGATATGTGCTTGAACTCTGTTTTATACACTAAGTGCAGTCTTATAGATTCATTTCCAATAACTGGTCATTTTTGACTGGGAACACCATGGGTGTATACAAGTTCCATTAAACACACAAATTTTTATAAAAATATTTCAGATTTGTTTTAGGTGTTCAAATACCATGTGTGAACAAAGTCATGGAACCTCATGACAAACAGATGAAATTTACTACACTTTTTAAAGAGGAAACATGTAAATCGGTCA